TTCCTGGCACGTGGTTGCTGGCTGGTACTCTTTAATTCTTAAAGAGGCTGCAGATTGTTCAGGTGACTGACATGTACTACTTGATATGTTGGTTCTAGAAAGGATTGCAGCGCCAATGTAGGCTACCCCATGAGGGGGCATTCTCTCCTTGAAATGCTCATGACATTATAATATATATATATAAAATATGTATTATATATATATATAAAATGGCTGTTGGAATAGTGAATTATTTGCTACTTTGCTGCTTTGTGACACAGATTATTCTTTTTTTGGAGCTGATTAAAAACAAAATCTGTTTGAGTTTTCTTTTGAAGCATTTAATCTAAACCCTCTTTGTGACTTTGACAGCAAGTTCATTTTTGATCGAACTCCAGAGTCCTTTCAGAATCTTCAGCTCTGAAGAGCTGAAATTAAAAGCATTTTCCCTTCTCACCCTCTCCATTCTATTGAGCTTCAGGAGATCAGGGGGTGAGTTTTTATTGTTAGTAGCTTGAAAACAAAATTATTATGTGCAGATATCTTTGGATAGACACTGTAAATGATGGATTTTAACAAAAGCAAGAACATGTCCTGGAAGAGGGGTAAAGATGTCCCAGGAAGAGAACAGGTTTGCATGAGGACACAACAAGGGAGGAAGTGTCACAAGAGTCCTTCTTGGAAGAGCCAAACTCTCTTGATGGGATAAAAGCCCACCTGAATTAATTCACGGACAATTATATTTTGAATTAAACTCATGTTTGCACCCAGCCTTTTGCTTTGATCTCTCTGAGATGCACAGACATCAGGGCTCATTTGGTCCCTGAGCTAGAATTGATAGTGTTTTCTCACAATGAAGGTAAACCAAACTACCCAGGGGCAAAAAGGCAGCAGAGCAAGAAAATAGAAGTAGACCCTTAGGTGAGACCTATAGTCCAGGCTAAGGGGAGGTGTGAGGTAACAGAGGAAGGACATTTTGCAATCGCTTAGTAGAGTCAGGTCAGAGCACAGATCAGGAAGAGCACAGAGAGCTTGGTCAAAAAGCATGAAGAACCAGATATTTGGCTGCTTTAAATCACAGCTTTTTTTGACCCAAGGTCTAGTGTATATCTGTTTGAATTTGCAGAGCAGGCAGCATCTTCTCTGCATGCTCTCTTTCTGACTGTGATCAGAACGTGGCAATCACAGGGGTTAAAAGAAAAAAAAGAAACAAAAACCCCCACCACCCTCTGAAAATAAACAACCCCTTCCAAACTCCAGCTCTTTTTTCTAGCCATCCCCAACAGAACAACAGCAGCAACCATAACAGAAAAGCTTTCCAGATGCCCCTGGGCTCTCTTACTGTCTTTTACTGGAAAGTCAGTGTGAAAATGGAAATCAGGGTTGTAAGCCAGGGGGAGAAATTGTTCAGGTCACAAGCGGTTTTAGGGAAGATTAAAGGTTGAAACTGTCATATGGAAAATGTAAGTGGAATGTCATGGGAAGCTGTGAGACTGCAGAGGGGTCTCCCCCAAGGGGGCTGTAAACCCTGTCATTTGAAATCAGGTGAGGAAAAACCTCTAAGCATCTGCCACAAATAATGGCCTCTCATTTTTATCAGGTACTGGGACAAGACAGGGCTCTCCCATCACTCGTTTCCAAGAAGCTCTTAAGCTAATATGACCTGGTCCAGCAGACTGCGGCAACAGCCTTCCAGGATGTCCACTGATCATGGACATGTAGCTCCACGCTGCCACCTCTCATTGCCACTTCTTCTGGGAAGCGATTCAGATCCACCAAGGGAACAAAGTGTTATCAGGACTGTATTTGAGCCTGAACTGAATTCTCTGCCAAGCCCTTTGAATAGAGATGATAACCCCGCATTTTTGTTTCAGAAGTAGGATGAGTCTGATAAGAGGTGATCAGGATGTTTCTGACTGGGACAGAAAGTGTAGCACATGGTGGGAGATCTGATGGACCAGTTCACTCCGAGGCAGTGCAGCTGGAGTCATATGCCAGCAGTGAGAAATTGGATTCCTTTTTTTTTTTCTCCCCAGCCTCTTGCTCAAGGAAAAGCACAGACTGTTACTCTGAAGTTAGGACGACACTATGACTACATTTCTATACTCAGGACTTGCTAGTGTGTGATTGGCTTCTTTAGATGACCTGTCCCTCAAGCAAACCTTTGTTAGGTTTAAGATACATTTTCCCAAAGCAATCCTATATATCTGAAGGGCTGTGGAGTTTAGGATGGCCCAAAGACTGGTGTGCCCAACCTGGCATTTTCTGGAAACATCAGAGGATAAAACAAAGTGAAGGTAATGTCTTAAGGACCAACACAGCCATGAAAGAAGTGGACTTTATTACTTCTTTCTTGAAAGATAGGTAGGGGGTGCAGAGTAAGGGAAGGATACCACAATTAGATGAGATATGAGGAAAACTTGAAGACTAGGAGGTGCTGGGGTATAATAAGGTGCCAATGCCAGAAACAGCCCCACTGCATGTTAATTTATTCTGGTTGCACCTCAGAATAAAATTATGAAATTGGTGAAAAACATGACAGTACTGTTAAGTTTCCCTAGGATTTGATGAGCTGCATATGGAAGAAAGTGCTACATATATCCTGAAACCTAGATTTACTTTCCAGTGGGAAATTTTGAAATTTCATAAACAGAGAGCCCAAGCAAAATTCTTCTGCATCAATACAAACCCTCAAAATATCAAATCTGCTAATGTAAAAGGAATCTTAAGACTGATTTTTCAATATGAAGTTAATTCAACTCTCCTTCTCACCTCCCTCATCCAAAACAGGGCTTCTAGAGGACTTCAGAGGCATGAAACATTCATTCATATTCTGGGCAGCTGTCATGATGTGTAGGAATCCTGGCTGTGGCATTGTCAGACAGAGATGGGAGTGGATAGAAAGTAGGCAATAACTCTGGAAAACTGCTCAGTTTCTATTAAAAGTCTGGTGAAATTAAGACACTCCATATCCTGACCAAGGAAAATGCTCAGGTGATCATCTCAGAATCCTCCTTCAGGGTACACAAATATTCCCACAGGATAAGCTGTTGCAATGCAAGTGCTGGCTTGCATCCCTGGTCTATTGTGCAGAGCCATGCCCCTTAACTTTAGGTGATTATGATGCCAGAGTCTGTTTCCACGTGATCACTACATAGGGCCAATTCACATCCCAGAAGCTGCACTAATGTGTGGACTGCACCTAACTTAGAAACCTTAGTGTGATCTCTTACTCTCTGTAAAAGCCAGCCCAAGGTCCTTGATTCAGGTGTGTGCAGCTACAATGCAGTCATCTAAAGTTGCAGGAGGCGAACACTGCAACTGATTTGTGTTGCTTTTAATCACTTAGATGCTTAAGCTCTTCATTGGAGCTGAAGTTTAGCCCTGTATCTGACTGGACTGTCCTTCAGATGACAGATAAGATGACTGGGATGATGATATAGAGTTCAGATCTAAGCAGGCATGGGAAAAAGGTCTTGTGTAAGACCTATAAAAAGAAGGACACAATATATCTGAGTTCTGCTGAGCAGTTCTGGCCTGAAGAAATGAAACTCATACAGGGTAGGAGTTAACTTTTCCCTTGTGATGATCAGCTACTTTGTAGCTTACAGGTCTTCCAAACCTGAAGTACTTGGAAGGTTGGTACCATCCAGACAAGAAGAAAGCTGTGATCCACTATATAACTAGTAGTTAATGGCTACGGGAAGGCATTAGACCTGACAGCTGCAGTCTGGCTGAGGGATTTTTAAACTAAGCAACCTATTCAGAATTGTTAACCCACCAGCACTCCCATGTGCATAGGACAGCCTGCCCAGCAGACTACTGGGTCACAGTTTGATTTTCTCTTGGACCTGTCATGAATGACCACCCATACAAATGGTATTCCTGGGAAGAAGACCACATTTTAATGGCTTTGTTCAGTAGCTTCCCCTGTCAGTGTGTAGTATGTGCTGTGGCTGCAAGACAGAAGATGGTGCAACCAGTACTTCCCAACAGTGTTTCCTGTGAAAGTCAGTGGAGGTATTAGTAGAAGCAGGATTGGACCCTGAATAAGCAGGGGACAAAAAAGCACCATATGCTGGAAGGAGATGAGTATTATGTAAATAATAATGCATAGAGACATTTTGTAAGTGGGTAGACCGATCCTATTATTTATCTACAATTAAACTAAACTGTGGGGTCGTATCATCCTATTAAGGCTAGCAGATTAAACTCAGGCTGTCTCTTTTTGTTATTGTTTCTGATGGGGTTTTGGAACTTTCTTAATTCAGGTCAAAAAATGAGAGACTTCCTCATAAGCATTTTAATTAACCAGCTGAAGAATTCTCTTGCCCCCAGAGACTCACGGTACCAAATCCAGAGCTCAGACTGTCATATTTCAGCTCAAACTGTGTTTGTGCCCTTTTATTCAAGTCAAAAACACAGACAGCAAATCAGACCCACCCCCCTCCCTCATTAACTGCTTGGGAAAAAAAAAAAGTATCTTGAAAGTTTGATTTTTGACCTAAACATGTTCTTTGCAACCTCCAGTGCATGAGGACCAGAGTGCATGAGGACCAGAACGTATGAGGAAAGTGGCCCAAACCTGCAGAGAAAAGCCCTTTTGGATGGATCTTGGGGCTATGCGCACCTTATCACAGGCATCTTTCCTTCCCCAAGACATCACCAGTGCAATAGGGTCATCCAGTGTTGTCTCACAGCTGAGTAAAACCCCAGTCCTTTCGCAGAGCTGCTTTGTGCACCGTCCCCCTGGGGAGAGGCCCTCAGTTGAATGGTTGGGTTTCTACGTAGTGTGCTGCTCCTCAGGCAGATGAAGAGCTCCTTCCTGGTCTTTGGAGGCTCTTGCCCACATTCTCCCGGTGGCAGCAACTCTTGGTAGCACTCCTGCAGCGTGCTGACATTGCACCACAGCCAGCCATCGTCCCAGTAGGTTTGTTCAAGGAGAGGAATCACACACCTCCAAAACGGATGTGAGGAAGGAAGGCATGCCCCCAAAGTTCCCCACTCCCCCCTGTCCTCCTCTATGTGGAGCTGGCACAGATCCTGCTCCTTTCCAACTTGTGGGGTAGTGGCAAGCCATAAGTGGGGAGGACATTGAAGACCAAGTACGGTTCTGGGAAGGGCAGCAGCTCCGTGTGGTGGGGAGAGAAGGAGAGCATGCTGGGCAGCCAGGCAGTTGTCAGCTGTCCTTGCAGCGGTGAGTAGTATCCCGTAGCAGGAAAGGAAGCAAAGAGCTTTCTTGGCATTAAGCTAGGAGCCTTTCAAGAATAAAAATGTAGTTTCAGGTGAATCAATATGGACTTTTATTTAGATACAATTTACAATCAACCTTATTTGTTTCCCTGGTGTTCAGTAATTAGGTAGAAAAGTTTAGAAGAATAGACTTCCTAAAACCCGGTGGTGTGTTGTCACCCAGAGAGCAAGGCAAAATACACTTTTTTCTAGCCATGAAAAGCCTCCTGTCAGGAAAAGAGCCTATGTGCCAGCCAGATAATATTAATGGTCCTGGACATGGCAAGGGTCAGGGGCAAAAAGTAGTAGTCAGCCTAACAAGGTGGGATGTTGTAAAGAGATACTGTCTGTAAAGAAACATGGCTTTATGGCTGCAAATGTCTTATTTTCTCCTGTTCAGGAAATTTTTGATGGTAAAGACATTTTGAATTAAAGTATGATTTATGAAGAAGTGATTTAGAAGCAAAATGGGGAAGGACCACCCTGCAAGAGACATCTCACAGCATATTTGCAAAACTGGTTTAGTATTATGAAGAAATGTGTTATTTGACCAGATTTGCTGAGATTTCTTGTCATCCTATTGCCATTTTTATCTTTTCCAGTCCTCCTTCTCTGGCATAGTCCCATGTGAATTGACTACCAGGTGAAGGATAGATGTCTCTCCCTCAGTGGCTTTATACCTAGTGTTCAATACTTACTGTGAAATCTGTCTTGGGAGCAGGAACGAAGTCAACTTCTGTCAGATGCTGGAGGCCACCAAAGTTTCCAAATTTTTCATGTTTCCTCCACTTTGCTCGCTGATTCTGGAACCAGATCTGGATAGATGTAAGAAAGAAAATGCACAGAAATTAACAGAATATGAAGGAGAAGTTGCTCACAGCCAACTACTTTCCCTACTCTCTGAGTATCAGAAAACAGTGACATCCAGCTCAGCAGAACCAGGGGTTGAGTCTAAAGGAATGCAGTGGGTTTGACACAGCACCTTTCACACTCTGCATAGCATGTGGGATCTCTGGACTATCATGACAGACTCTCTTCTACCACAGCTCACAGAAGATCTAGAATCATCCTAACCAAGGAAAGACAGTGTTGCAGCACTTACAGGGCTCTCTGGGAAAGCAGATCCTTCTGTGGCCAAAACTGTACAGCAGTCAAGGCACATGGCATTCTGTTTTCCTTGTTTTTCCTAGGAGGTGTGATATGTTGCATGACAGGGCTATTTTGCCCTGTTTCCACACGAATAGACTGAGAAAAGATCTACCTAGATGCTTTGCTGGGCTGCAGTAAAAATGTGCCACCAGCAGAGATGTAGTAACAGGATTCTTCCTATATTTAACTGGTAACATTTTGAAATTCACATGAGAGAACTAAACAAAAGACCCAAGGGGATCACTAAGCCATCTGAGTATGTTGTCTGCCATCTCTTTTGCCTGAAAAACAGACAAATAATTTTCTCAGGGGAGTTTCTTTCATATATTAGCTGATTTGACCAGTCTGACTTCTGGCAGAGATATACACGTGTTTATTGTGAAGTGGCAGTAATGCACCTTTCTGCATTGTTCTGAAAAGTTGAATCCCGCTATAGTTTCTATCTGGCTGAGGGACTGGCTGTTTGAATGTAAGCAAGTGGTTCACATGAACACAAAGTGTCAGTGATCAAAGTCAGATGCAACTGGATGTAAATATGTGTGTATTTTAAACCAAATAATGAGCAGCTCAATTATTTCTGCATCTCTTGCCCAGGAAGTAATGGGAATGTCAGGAGCCCTCTGCTGCATTGTTGATAGTTAGCAATACCTGAGGTCACTGAAATGACAGTTTTATTTATCTGGGTTTGCATGTATTTGGGAACTGCTATATTAACTCCTCCATTCTCTTTCTACCATGCAGGAGTTATGTGCTGGAAATAGCACCATTTAACACTGATAAAGTGATTGAAGGAAATGGGGGGCTGAAGACAACATTCAGCCTCTGAAGTACTCTTTCTAAAGTCTGCACACAGGATAAAGTTCTCACTTCATGGACTTCCATTTTTTTAAATAAAGGCAAGCTTTCAGTAATTCTCAGACCAAACTGCTCTTTTCTGCCCAACCAGCTCTGCAACACACTTACCCCTAAAATGGTTTCTAAATGCCCACTTTTCCAGTGATCCTGAGCTATGACACTGAGATAGAGCACAATATTCCCATGTGTATTCACAAAAGTCACACCAGGGGCAGGTGCCTCTTTAATCCTGACAGAGATTTCACAAAAGACTCATTTACCCTCTAAGTAGTCAGCAGGTTGTCCAAGGCAACCAGGACTAAAATAGAGTGCAGAGGGAGGGTGGTGTGCCCCATGTTGTAGGAATGGCCTCCATTTGTTTTACTGATTCTGTAGTTCAAATTCACCTTTGTGTCAGTAAGTGGTTCCTATGACTAACCAACTTTGAAATGTCGCCAGGGGACACCTGTTGCAGGCCTAGTTTTTTGTCTGCTAGCACATGCCATTTGATCTGCTCTGTTCTCTTAATCCAAGTAGGTTGTAGGACCAAGGCAAGGTCTTCACAGTGCCATGTCATCAATGATATCAGTTACCTTTATAGACCAAATACATAGAATCATAGAACTGTAGATTGGTTTGAATTGGAAGGGACCTTCTAAAGATGCTCTTTAGTTACAACCTCTCTGCTGTGAGCAGGGACATCTTGCACTAGGCCAGGTTGCTAAAAGCCCCATCCAACCCGACTTTGAACACTTCTGGTGATGGGACACCCACAACTTCTCCGGGCAACCCATTCCAGTGTCTTGCCAATCTCACCATAAAGAATTTCTTCTTTACACACAAACTAAATCTACCTTCTTTCAGTTTAAAATTGTCATTAATAATTTCATCATAAAACGATGAGTTTGGCAGTATCTTTTTCCATAAGCCAGAGTTGATAAGCATTAAATATGTTACCCTTTCTTTAAGTCTTCATCAACAGAGACTCATATCATCTTTCTTACAGTTTTGCAAAAAATCAGTGTTTGGCTGACAGGTTGTCCTGTTTACCCTTTAAGTGCTGATGCAACATTACATTTCTTCAAGGCCCTTGGAATGCCCCTTGTGCTCCAGGGCTGATTTAATATCAACACTGATGATCCAAAGTACTTCTCAAGCAGCTTCTTAAGAACTACTGGAGGTAAGTCACTTAGATGTCTGGATTTAAAAATATCTCTCTGTAGCAGCTGCTGTTCAACATTGTCCTTATGGAAAGTGTTACCACCTTACCTGACATATTTCCAAGGATAGAGCAGAAATTATGACTGAACATCTTTCCTATTTATGCCATATCCTTGACAGTCCTTTACCAATAAAGTAACAGATCAATATAACTGATTACTTTTAGGTTTGTTTTTCTGTTCTTAATCGACTTTTATTGAGTTTTTGAGCTATAATTCTTCTGACCAAAACTTTGGCCTGCATCCTGCTTTGTTTATTAATTTTTTTTTAATTTCTTGTTTCTAATGTTTACTCATCCAACATTCTTCATTTTCTCTTGTGTGTAGGCATGCACACATGTAGTGATATAATTTCATCTATTCACTTAAGCTGTTTCACAGCAAGCAAATCTTTTTCATTATTTGGAGGACACAAGCTTTTTCACAGTTATAAAATGTTTTATTTGGTTACCTGATAGTTGTTCACATTTTTTTCCCCAGTTAAATTATCTTTCTGAGGGGATTTGACTCATGTTTCTTTAGCTTTGTCAAAACTATTATTTCAAAGTACCAAGAGCACATGTGAATTCTCAACATGCTATTTGGTTTATATGTGACAAATGCAATCAATCAAAATTATAACAACTTGTAACTTGCACCTAAGTCACCGCTAATTTTCAGTTCCGTGGTTGATTTCCCTTTAGCAGCTAAGATGAAGTCAAACACAGAATTTCTTGTGTCATGTGCAACCCTATCTGAATTGGGTATTTGTCATCTGCAATTCATACATCAGGGGCTTTTTACTTCCCTCATTTATATCCCAGGTTGATGATTCCCATAACAACTCGTTTTTATTTTTCCCCATACAGATTATAAATAATTTTTTAAAACAGAAAAGTGCCCTGTTCTTTCATGTGATTTGTTGTTCTGTTGGGAACACTGCCTAGTAGCCCAGCTTGTGCTTTATGCCATTGGAAATGCAGTTGGTGCATTGATATCACTAATAGGCATATTGTGGCTATGCAGTTCCAGTTCTCCCTGTCACCTAACTATGAAGCAATGTCATCATGGTTAGTCAAAATCCCCAGGCATGTCATAGTCAATAAACTGCTTCATGTTGAACTTTGATTGTTAAGAGTGGGATATGAGCAAAGAAGTGCACCAATGATTCTACAGTTACGGCAAGAAACTGCCTTGTGCAAAAATCATCTCGACACTGCTTGATAAACAACACCAAATGCCAATACACAGGGGTATGTATATTTTAATGTTGTAGATCTCGTATGCAGTAAACATCTGGGGTCAATTTTTAGCTCAGTCAGCAAGACTATATTACAACTGAGGGAAACTGGATTACTTTCTGTGCACTGAAATTACAGCCAGGGCATTTATAGCCTGTGATATCAAAATACAGAACACTAAAAAAGCATTTTCATTTGGGTAGCTATTTTCACATTTTTTGAGACCCTGTGGAAGATGGATGTGGATGACAGTTTGTACTGGATGAATATTAGCCCATAAACTGTTGATAAATGATTAATAAATATTTTCATAAATGGCCACTCTGTCGCTACAGAGTCCAACAGGTTGCTCATAACCATCTGTAACTCCTATTTGCTATGCATTTAGTGTGCTTAGAGCTCCTGTTAACCCTTTGATAAATCCCATTTGGTTAGTCACAGCTGGGTGACAAATACTTCTTCCGTGTTTGCAAAAGGAGAACAGTGATATTGGCCTTCTCTGTAAGGTAAGAGAGAGGTCACGCAATTCATTAGAATTGTCACCCAGGCATAAACTATTAAGAATGTACTCTGAATAATGAATTGCTGTGGCAAACACAGCCTTTTGGAGACACAATATACCTGAACTCTGGCTTCTGGGAGGTTTATCTTTGCTGCCAGTTGATTGCGAATATGGACATCCGGGTAGTGAGTCACTTGGAAAATCCTCTCCAGTTCCTGGAGCTGCTCAGCTGTGAACGTTGTCCGGATTCTCCGTTTCCCTTTCCTCTCAGCTGTGAAAACAAGGAAAGGTGTATTACATTTTACAGGAGCAGCCTACAGGACTACAAGAAGATTCAAAGAGCACATTGCACAAGATTACATTGATGGTTCTTGAATGGGGGAAGACTGGGCAATCTGTTCCAGTGCTCAATCACCCATCCTTATCTTTTCCTGACATACTGGTCTTACCAAGCTTTCCTCCAGCTCAGAGATATTATTTTATTCCATTGTCACTGTACCAATTTGGATGAATTTTCTCCTCCCAGCAAGATCAAGGAGTTGCCAAAATATGTTAATACTTTGGAGGGAAGTCAACCATTAAGGACTGACTGACTGCTGTTCTCTTCCCATACCATTCCTTCAGCAGTAGGGGTAGCCAGCAGTTTAACTTTGCAGTTATAAAGAAAAAGTATTTTTCTGACTGTACCATTGTGGTGTGTGGACTTTTTAAACAAGCTTAACCTTAATAACTTAACCTTAAGAACAAGGCCTTAAAACCCATGGGAAGTTTGGATGCTGTGAATTCCTAAGGGGACTCATAGACTGCTCCATTCCTTCACTTGGTGTGGTGTGACCACACTAAAGACTTCCCTCAGCACTCCTATACTGTTTTGAAAATGTCCTTTATTTAGATCATGAACTCTGTGTGACACTTGGTGTAAGTTAGAATAAGGTCTAGGTTGCTCTGAAATGATGCTGAAGGGTTGATGTCTTTCAAGGAGGCGGGGAAAAGAGCAGCAGAAGTGAGGTCTAAGGCAGCTGTTCTGCAGAATGTGGAGTCCAGAGTCCAGAATGTCCTAAGGCTGGAATCCTCTCTGATGCACAAGTGAAGTATCTTCCACCTGACATTGAACAGCCAGTACAAAAAGCCATGCCCCAAGTGCAGTGAGTCACAGGGCACAGGGTTTTTTCTAGTGAGCTCGGAAAACTGCGGCCTGATAGGAGCATAAAAATTCTGATATCATTAGTGGCTATGATGAGTTTGCTATTCAGTGACCTGAAGTAATTGTCAATTAAACCATGTTGCTCAAAAAAATGACTACTGTGAATAACTGCTTTTGGTCTTCCACGGTCTGATGACAACTACGAATTCATATGTAACTAGATGCATGCCCTTCCTAACGGGAACAGTTAAACAGTAGTCCCTCAAGGAGACTTTGTGCTTTTTTTTCCTCCCTTTTTGCTCATCCATTAGCATATTCTTTTCCTTTTGAGGGCTAAAACTGTGAAAAGGTAAATAAATACCTTGGCCAATTTAAATTGGGCTCTGTGCCAACCAGAAAATGGCATTTTTCATCTCTAATCAAAACCTCATTGTGACTCTGTTGACACAGAAAACCAGGAATAAGAACTCTGTCCATTGACTTGGTAGGAAAAGGTCTGGGACAGGATACCACTACGAATATTTCATCTTTTCTAAACCTTTTGGGTACGTTGAAAGGAAACCAGTCATGCAAGAATAACTGAGGACTGTCATTTATCATAGACACTGTCAATACTACCTTGTCTCAGAAACAGCCTAATAATGCTGATGTCCAACACAGTTAAATCCATATCATTAGGCTTTCCACCAGACTATCAAAGTACTACTCATTCAACTACAGCTCTTGCTTCAACCCCAAGAGAAAAATGTTATTTACATTGGATCTTGCTGGCATTACTGGAGCAGAGATTTGAAATGAGAAATATTTTTTGTGTGTTTATGCTGAAGGTATGAATGGGCACTGTCTCCTAAGAAGCCCTGACCACATCTACTTCAACCTTCCCAAAAGATGTCCGTAAGGGGGGGTTATTGCTACATCCAATAAAAGGGAAATATCAGAGCTGACAATATGAATCTCAGGACACTACATCCCCTGTAGATATGATAGGGTTCGTGGTTCATAATGGTGTTTCTTGTCTGGAAGATTTTCACCTCACACATCTTGTGGGGACTGCCCTCCATATCCTCCAGGGAGATACTCCAGAGAGGTAAGACTGAGTACCAGGATGGTATTTTGTCAAGCATATTATGTTCTCTCATACAGTAGTGAATCTCTCTGCTGTATTTGTATCAATACAATTTATGGTATCTACACTGCTCTACTACAGGGCAACAAGTGAAGTTTGCCCTAACCTTGTCACAGTCTCAGAAATTTGATGCCTCCCTGAGAAGTCCTGTATGTCTCCATGAACAGTGAGCTCAGTTCCTGCCTCTGTCCAAGGTAGAAGACTGGCTCTACAAATCTGGGAGAAGCTGCAGTCTATCTCAAGCATTTCCAGAATAAAGCAAGAAATCCAAGCTCAAACTGTGACCAAGCTCCTTGTACCTGTGGTCCCAAGTGTACAAAAACATCCGGGATGCTGGCAGAGTTCTTGTCCTGCCAGGTTTTGTATGCCCAGGCAATCTGTGTACCTTCTAGCAATCAGAAAACCTTTGGAAGAGAGAACAAACCTGGCTGCATCCTGAGGTGTTTCTGAATGAGAAAAAACTTAGACCCCCACCGCCCCATATTAGATTAATGAACTAGATTATAATTTCATGACTGTGCAAAGCAAGAAAGAAATTGTCTACATTTTAAAACATAAGATGTCACATCGAAGGATAATAAAAAGGTGTATTTTAGTGTTCTATCAGAATACCAAAAAAAAAAAATTAATTTAATCCTGTACAAACCCTTCTGTCTCATACATTAACCAGACTTAGTTAAAAGAATTGTGATGACTGAACTGAACAATGATGGAACTGAACTAAATGCCAAAGACTAGGTGGATCAGACCTCCCCGTGACAGGCACCATGCAAACAGCAACCATTAGTTCTTTTCTGGAAGCACATATGATGACAGCTATCACTTACTCTTCATAATGGGGAATCAAAGCTAAGGCAAGACTTTTTAGTGCCCAAACCAGAGACTACCTGAGACAGAATGGAGTGGTTTACGTTATTAGGACCATGCTTCCTGCAGGACCTCTTCCTATAGAGTATGTTCATGCACACCAGAGACAGAGATGATAATGTGGGTATCTTTCCTTAGCTTTCAGCTTAGGAAGTTGTGGCTGCTGGCTGGACGCTTGGTACAGAGTCTACTGGATTAACCAACCTGGACAGATTCAAGAAATCAGCTGTCACAAACAATGCAATACCATGTCTGCAGGGCTCAGGTGTGGAATAAAGTCAGTAGTGGAGATCACGAGTTCAGAAGGACCTGCAAAATCTTTGCTACAAAGTGTATATGAGAATGAGAAGACAAAGGCTGTGCACAGCTGGTGTAAATTTGGGAAGCAGCTTTTAGCTGAGCTGGGACACCTTTTGGTACTTGAGAGATAGATCCATTGCCTCGAACCACACAGTATTTTAAGCTGCTGGAAATGGGATGGACAAGGCATCTGTCAAATAATGGCTTACTATACTCTGTGCCTCTACCACCTAAGAAGCGTCCAGGACTAGAGAGCATGGCTTGAGAGAACTGGCTCATGAGTGTCTGGTGTCTCAAATCGGTTTATTTGGTATGAAAATAACCCCAATAACTTGGTGATAGACAAAAGAAACTCTCTATCAAATCACTCTGAAATCCTTCACATTTTTCCTTCTTGAAAGGTGAACTGTCTGTTTTACAGACAAGGCTCTTACATAAGGGAAGGGTCTACACCATGCTCAGAAGTGTCAGTCCTACTGAAACCAGATTTTTCAAAGCCAAAATTCATCAGATTGAAAAAAATACAGTAACATGAGGTCAGTTATGGGCCAGTAGAGACTGAAGGACAAGCTTTGATTTCAACTTAAAAATAAAATTAAATTGCTAACTAAATAGAAACCTGTGAATTAATCAAAGCTTTTGCCAGTAGGAAATCTAGAAAAGTGCATTTTTTCTGTAACTAATCAGTCATTCTTTTTTGTTTTTAACTATTAAGAAATACAAAAAATCTGGGACTCTATGTTAACATTTTCTCTTGCAAGATGAAACTTTCTCTGACTGCAGCTGTGATACTTCCCTTTGCCTTGGGACCTTAGCTTAGAGATCCCATAGCAAACAACAGCATTCAGAATTACAGTCTAATAAAGAATGTGGGTGGAAGATATAAGACTAGAAAGTCTTGAAAGTGTAACATTGGCTTTTCAAATGTGGCTATAGAGTCTCTGGGGAAATAAGACTCTGTCTGAGTTTCCTGAGCCATTTTTTATGTAAAAGCTGGGGATATTCAAGTGTGCTTTTATGCTCTGTGAAAGTCATTTGCAGGTTAGCTGACTGCTGAAACCAAGCCTGAAAATACCAGGCAGCTAAATATGTCAGCATTTTCAGATGCTTAGAGATACAGCTGTCTATACATTGCCTTGCTGCTGACATTGGAAGGGCCAGATTCTCCAAGCTGATAAAGCAGTATAGCTCCTTTAAATTCAGTAGCAGGCTCATTTATCCTCTGCAGATCTGCTTTATTACTAGGTCAGACTTGGAGCAAGTTGGGACATTTGAACTTTGTAGAGATAGAGATTCTTCTTGAAGGCGCAGAGTGAAAGGATGAGGTCAATGGCTACAAGTTGCAGCAAGGAAAATTCTGATTACATGTTAGGAAAAAAAATGTTTTCATCATGAAGGTAGTCTGATGTGGGCCTGGAGAAGCTGTAAAATCTCAGTCCTTGGAGATATTCTAAACTTGACTGGCTCTGTGTAGATTTGGGGTTGGACAAGGCGGCCTCCAGCGGTCTCACCCAAGTAACTTTTTTGTGGGATCTCTGACCTATAAATACCCATGTGAAGTAAAGCCACACTATCATTTCTTCCCTAAAAAAGTAAGGGAGTTTAGGTCTTTAATACTATGCACAGCTCAAAGAGTTTGATTTGCAATTGCTCATATACAGTTTTAGCTTTGCATATAATGGCTTATTTTCACTGTCTTGTGTGACACAGTTTCAAGACATCAGAAGTATGAGCAAATCAATACTGCATACTAATGCTTGAATATGTTTGCTCACATTTACAGTTTGCTAAGTAGAAGCTGTGCAGCTGCAACAATGCCATATTGGGGCAAATT